AGGACTAGAGTTTGATCCCCAGAACCCATGTAAAAAGTCTGTAATTCTCATGATGACGGGATGGGGTTTCTCCATATACATAAATACATGTATACAAATTCCCACTATCCCCACAAGTAGGAGAGGAAGGGGGGGAGAGAGAGAGAGAGAGAGAGAGAGAGAGAGAGAGAGAGAGAGAGAGAGAGAGAAGAGAGAAGAGAGAAGAGAGAAGAGAGAAGAGAGAAGAGAGAAGAGAGAAAGAGTGGTAATTCCCCTTCTTTTTTCCAGACCCACCAAGAAATGAACAAACACTCTTACATTCCTGCTGCCACCTCCCACAGCCCTTTCTGCCTCCATGCCTTCCTCATCATGATGGGTGGTACCCTTGAGCTGGAGTCAGAGTAAACCCCTCTTTCCATCTGACCAGAAAGTCGTCTCCTGCCCCTCACGCCCCAGAGCAGAGCTGGACACCCCTCAAAGAGGAACCAATTCCATGCAAGCTTGCTTTCAGAATGGCCAGTCTCTTACAGATGTCCAGTCTCTTATAGATGTCCAGTCTCTTTCAGAATGGCCAGTCTCTTTCAGAATGGCCAGTCTCCTTCAGAATGGCCAGTCTCTTACAGATGTCCAGTCTCTTATAGATGTCCAGTCTCTTTCAGAATGGCCAGTCTCTTTCAGAATGGCCAGTCTCCTTCAGAATGGCCAGTCTCTTACACATGTCCAGTCTCTTATAGATGTCCAGTCTCTTTCAGAATGGCCAGTCTCCTTCGACAGTGGGCAGTAGTGGATGGAGGGACTCACAATTAGTCAAAACGCTGAGAACGTGTGTCTCTGAGACTAAACCACCGATGAGACAGCTCTATCCCCCTCCCTCCAAAGTGGAGGAGGCAGAAAGAATGTACGAGAGCCAGAGGATGGGGAGGAGAGCTTAGAATGCTATCCCCTGGATATGACGTGGCTGTTGTACCCAAGATCTCCCAGCAGCTACCGTTGCCTACACAGGATCAAGCCAGTCTCAAATCCCACCAGGGATGGACATGCCCTGTCCGTGGGGCTTCTTCATAACCTTCTGTGATGTTTTCAGTTTCCATGCATTTGGGTGTGTAGGCAAATTCTGTGAACATCCTGGTTAAGCTGGAGGGATTTGAGAGAGCAACCTGCACACCCTAGGAGACTGAAGATCTGAGGTCCTGGGGGCAGTGACCTACCTCTCAGGGCAATTGGAGACTCTAACTGGGGAAGGAGGACTGGCTGGGCTGGAAGCAACAGAGAAGGGGCTAGGGAGATGGCCAAGTTGATCTGCTGTGCAGGCATAAGGACTTGAGTTCAATACCAGAACCTATTACTGTCATGTCAAGTAGCTCACAATCACCTGTTACTCTACTTCCAGGGGGGTCTAATGCCATTTTCTGACCTCTGTGAGACTGGATACACATGATGCATACACAGACAGACCTTCACACATATACAACATAAATAAATAAGATATATATATGTATATATTAAAATCTAGGTGCGATGATGCACACTTGTAATTCTAGTGTTGGGGAAGTGGAGATAGGAGCATCCCCAGGTCTCAACATCCAGGCAGCTTTGCCTACTGGGTGAACTCCAGGCCAGTGAGAGACCCTGTCTCAAAGGCAAGGTGGACAGCACCTTAGGAATGATACCAAAGTTGACCTCTGCTCTCTACAGGTATTTATTCACATGTATGCACACACACACACACTCACTCACACACACACACACACACACACACACACACACCAAGAGGGTACAAATGAATCCAACATCGTGGTCAGTTAGTACTCTTGTCAGGTTTTCCTGTGACCACCCTAGACATGAGCCTAGTCCTGGCATAAGGGTGGGATCTATGGCCTACTGCTATGACTTGAATCTGAAATGTCTCCAACATACTTGGTCCCCAGCACCCACATCAGGCAGTTCACAATCACCAGTAACTCCAGCTCCAGGGGATCTGACAGCCTCTTCTGGCCTGTGAGGGCACTGGCAGGCACACTCACAAACACATGTGTGCACACAGACGTGCACATAAATTTTTTAAAAATCTTTAAAAAAAAGCTGAGGCTCAAGAAAAAAATGCAAATTATTAATCAGACAAAAATGAGAGTCTTAATGAGCTTGTATCAGACACTTAGAGCAAGCAGGCACTCTGAGTGGCCAGGAACTACTTCCATCTTGTTGATAAACACATGCTGCAAGACAGGAAATTATCCTCCACGGTGCCCATTTTATCTCTGTTTAATTGCTGCTTGATAATAAATTACAACATAGAGTCCATTAATTAAGCTAACAATGACTGTGGAACGCCCGTCTTGTCTTCTGGGACTTGCCTGGGTCTGGAAGCATGATTCAGCCCCTGCCTATGGTATTTATGGGGCAGTGGAGAAAGATGCCAGTGTGCCTGGTAGGGAGAGAGGGAGCCCCTCGATCCGAGGGAACAGCTTTGAACAGGAAAGAGAGAACCTCAAGCTGGGAGCGGGGGCTCAGCCTGGTTGGCAGCTGGAGGACGGAGCCAAACACACACTCAGAGCTTGCAGGAGGAACTGCAAACACCGTTAGTCCTGCTTTCAAAATCAGTGCAGAGAAAGCAGCCGATGTTGTTAGGGGAGTTCACCCGAGAAGGGTGGGTTAGTGATGGCAGTGAGGAGCCTAAGTCTAGTGCTCTTCTGCAATCAAATAGGTGACGGGGACATCACGTTCACAGGTGGGATAGACGAAAGATGAAGTCTAGTTACTTCACAACAGAAGCCCTGGGACTGTACCCTGCCAGTCACCTTCTACAAGGAAGGAAAAGCGGTGCCCGGCTCCTCCGGCTCCTACTGAGGGAGGGGGGAGAATGTGGATGGCCAGTTCCACCTGGACGCATTCTTTCACTAGTAAGTATTTATTTATTGTTCTGTGGGGTGACGGGGGATGTGCACATGGGAATGGACTTTCCCATGGATGCCAGAGGAGGGTGATAGCTCCCTTGGAGCTGGAGCTGTGAGCTGGCACACACGGATGCTGGCAACCAAACGCCACAAAATCTGCTAGGAACCATGAGCCATCTCATGAGGTCCTGTTGTTTTGTTGTGGTGGTAGTCTTCCTATGTCACCCAGGCTGGCCTCATACTCAAGATCCTGACTTTCCCAGCTGCTAGTATTACAGGCGTGCACCACCATGTCTGGGTCTACTTAGGCCCTCTTTAAAGTATTTTTCAATTAAAATTGTATCATTTAGGGTGCATTGTATCTAATAAGGACTTTGAGCATGCTAGATAAATGATCTACCACCAAACAGTCTTTTCTCTGTGTGCAGTTTGTGTGCATGTGAGGGTGTGTGTGCATGTGTGTGAGGTCAGAGTTCACCATTGGGCTTTTTTCCTCTAGCATTTTCTACCTTGTCTTTTGAGATAGGGTTTCTTTAAACCTGAAACTCAATGATTGGCCAGACTGGCTTTCCAGAAAGCCCCCAGGGACCTTCGCTTTAGCTCTCTAGCTCTTACATGGTTTCTTGTCAGGGTTTGGCCACAGCTGTGAGAAAAGTAACTAATACGTCAACTTAGCACTGACTCTCAGTCTTCAGGAAGGGGGCATGAACGCTTTCCCAGTTTGTAACTTGCCTTTTGTGACGGCTGACTGACAGAACATTTAGTCTGTCTGTGAAAGCCAAGTCTAATGGTGTTTGGGTATATATTTCCTCCCTGTTCTTAGGGAAGTTCTGGCAAGTCCTTAGAGGTAGCATGCATGCGCGTGTGCGTGCGCGCGCGCACACACACACACACACATACACACACACACACACACACACACACATGTTCTTTCTCTGCTTACTCATGCCAAGTTATCAAGGGAGATTTATTTCTTCCGCCTCTTCATTTTGTCCCCTTTCAAGCTGCCTTAAGCGTCCTCGGACAGCCTGAGAACGCTTCTTTCTTGGTGAGGGCTCTGCCCTTGTACTAATATTTACCCAGCAAAGTAGGGAAGGACTTTCAGGGTGGGCATGGCAGCTGGCTTCTCAAAAGGGTCTCTGTGGGGCTGAAGAGCTGGTTTAGTAGACAAGAGTGTTTGCTACTCTTGCAGAGAACCCAGGTTCAGTTCCAAGCACTCTTGTTGTGCAACTAAGAACTGCCCTTAACTCCAAGTTCAAGGGCGCTGATGCCCTCTCCTGGCCTCCCTGGGCATTGCATACTAAAAAACACACAGACACACAGACACACACACACACAAACACACACATATTTTTAAAGGGCCTCCAGAGAAACCCTGTCTTGAAAAACAAACAAAAATAATTAAGAAGGGTCCTTGTTGTTTCTTCATGGTTGTAGGTAGGCAATTTTGATTTGAATGACACAATATGGTACGTCTCTCTCTGTTAGCAAATGACTCTAAAGTTTATCATAGTTTTCTTTTCCATCTGTAACATACACATTGACACATCTACCCCCTGGACATGTGTCTGGATGTGACTAGATACGCAGTTACTCTTTCCACTGCCATTACAGAGCGCTTGACAAGAGCAGCTGAAGGAAGGGAAGGAAAAATGGAAGGGTTTACTGTGGCTCGAAGTTTGAGGGTGCAGCCCATCATGATGGTGAGGGCACAGTGGCAGGAGCCTGCGGCAGCTGGTCATGTCGCATCCACAGTCAGGAAGGGGAGGCAGACGGATGCTGGTACTCAGCTCACTTTCTCCAGTTTATTCATCCTGGGACCCCTCACTCGTGGAATGGTGCTGTCCACATTCCGTGTGTGCCTTTCAAACCCAACTACCCTGTTCTAGAACTTCCCTCACAGACACACCCCGAGGACCGTCTCTTGGGTGATTCCCAATCCTGCCAGGCTGATAATCAATATTAACCCTCATAGTAAACTACCTTCTTTAATGACACAACCAGAGAAACATCTAAGTTCTTAAAAAAAAAAATCACAGGATTTGGAACAATGGGTAAGAGATGCTTCCGAAGTCCCATGAGCCTGGGGTTGTTGATTTTACTTCCTGGTCAGACATGTGGTCCTACCTGTGGTCCCCAGCCATGGCATGGGTACAGGATTGCTGTGTGGTTCTCCAGTGGCCCCTGATCCAGGCAGACATCCTTGGCCTTATTGTTACGGAGCTGCAGGAGGAGATGAAATGTACCCATCAGAAACCATCTAGGAGAGATGCATCTCCCCAGCCACCGCCATGATGTCCCTTGGCTGTGATTTCATGATAGAGCAGCCATGCACAGTCCTTCCATGTAAGGATTGGTGCTTGAATCTGTGAGCCAATAAGTCCCACAGCCATGCAGTGGGTGTCTTGGGTGTGAGCCCTGTGTCTGGGTCCTGGAAAGCCTGACCTCCACCCCTGACCCTCTGCCATCTCCCACATCAAGGGACATGTCAGGGGACTGGAGCAATAGCTTAGTGGTTAGGAGCATTAACCACTCTTAATGAGGGCCTGAGTTCGGTTCCCAGAACCCAAGTCTGATGGCTCACAACCACTTGTAACTCCAGTCCAGGGTACCTGCTGCCCTCTTCTGGTCTCCACAGGCACTGCACTCACAAGCACATACCCACTCCCACACAAACACATAAGCACATAAATAATAATCTTTTTTAAGGAGGCGGGGGGGGGGGCTGGAGAAATGATCCGTCAGTTAAGAGCACTTGTAAGTCTTGGAGAGGACTCAGCTTTGACTCTCAGCACCCATACAACAGATAACAACTATCTATAACTCCAGTTCCAGAGGATCTACAGTGCCCTCTTCTGGTCTCTGCAGGCACTGCATGCACATGGTGCACAGGCACACATGCAGAGAAACACCCATATAAAATAAAAATACATATATCTTTAATAAGAAGACATCAGAGAACTCTGCATGTGCTGTTCATGAATGTGCAGGTGCACATGTATGTGCACATGCCTGTGGACACCAGAGGACTATATCAGGTGATGTTTATTGAAACCAGGTTTCTAACTACCTGGAGCTTGCCACTTAAACTAGACCATTGAGCTCCAGGGATTTTCCTGTCTCAGCCTCCCCAGTGCTGCAAGGATTAAAAGTACGCACCACCATGCCCTATGTTTGATCTTGTTTGTTTACATGAGTTCTGGGGATCGAACTCAGGCAATCACTTCACCAAATGAACCATCTCCCTAGCCTCTCTAACCCCAACTTTTCATTGTCAATCTTGGATTTTTAAAAAAAAATATTTTCCTTCTAATTATGAAGTTATCACAAGAATATTGTGAAAATGGTATCTATGAAAAAACTGCTCGGGCTTTGGAGTGATGGCTCTGCATTTGAGAGCACACACCACTCTTTCAAGGGACCTGGGTGTGCTTCCCAGCAACCACATCAGGTAGCTAACAACAGTTCCAGGGCACCCATATCTGATTCTCTCTGGCTCTGAGGGCACCTGCACACATTTACCTGCGTGTATGCAAATAGATAAAATAATATAAATAAATCTTTAAAAACAAAACACTCAAATCCCCACCCAAACAGTTTATAGGTCTGCCATGGGCAACAGCTGTGGCTGTGTCTCTCTGCAGTTTGTCCCGTGACAACAGCTCAGGGTCACAGTGTGATGGGCCGGTTTAAACATCCTCTTTTTCCTCTTCAATGTCATGGACTTACCCTCTGAAACTATAAGCAAGCCCCCAATGAAATGATCTCTCTTCTTTTTCCTCTTTCTCTTGTTTGCTTTATTTTTTTGTTTGTTTGTTTTTCAAGTCAGGGTTTCCTGTGTAGCTCTGGCTATCCTGAAACTCAATCTGTAGACCAGGGTGGCCTCGAACTCAAAAGTCCACCTGCCTCTGTTTTCTGAGTGCTGGCATTACAGGCGTGTGCCGCCATTGCCTGGCAAATGCTTTCCTTTCTAAGTTGTCTTGTTCATGGTGTCTCCTTACAGCAATGGGAAAAGTAACTAAGACAGCTGGTCAATTTTTCTTCAGGGGATTTTTTTGTTATTTAAATCAATTATTTTATTTAAATTGAATTGTAGGGTTCGCTCACTACATACTACATAAATTACTGTTCATTTGTAAGATTTGTGATGTATAAATTTCCAGCTTGGCAGAACATTTCCACATTTGGAGTGTGGGTTATATTTCTTTATGAACTCAGATCAATTATCTGTTTTCTCTGTTGTTCCTCCTACAGCTTTCACTCTTAGAGAGCCCATCTCCGTTTGGATATATCAGATTTATCTCCATGGCTATATGACTGTTTTCCTATCTTTATTTTTGGGGGAGGTTTTGAGACAGGATGTCCTGTAGCCTAGGTCAACCTTGACCTCACTATGCAGCTGGCAATAACCTCAAGCTGATTACAGTCGTGTGAGGCCGGTGTATGCAGCGCAGGGAATGGAACCCAGGGTTCCACATGTGTGGGGCCAGCGCTCCGCTGACTGTGCCACCTCCCCAGCCATGGCTTCTTTTACAAAGAGCTAAGCCGTTTACACAGCTAAGACAAATCCCTGCTCATTTTCTGGTGTCTCCTGCACACTTGATCTTCCTTCAAACCCTTTTCTTTCGGAGAAGGGAGGGGAATGTTAGCCTGCATTAACAATGACAGCCACATGTTATCTGTGGGTCTACAGACCCTACACCCCGGGGCTCAGCATTGTGCCTAGCACCCCCATTTCAGTCCATTCATTTTTATACACTAAGAAATGGAACCTGGGAGGAACCAGGTGACTGGCAACAACTTACTAGAACGAGAGTCTAGCCTTTAGCGCAAAAGACATGTTTTTGTCTTTGTTGAGTTTGTCTAGGATGGGACAGTCTTGTGTGGCTAGTGCTAGCCTCAAATTCACTATGTAGCTGAGGACGGCTTTGAACTCTTGATTCTCAGCTTCTACTCCTAAATGCTGGTATTAAAGGCATGTGTTAACATGCCCAACTGTTTCAGAATGTTAAATGCCTCAAAACAGAAAATCTGAGAATTCCGTCTTTCCTTTTCCTTCCTTCCTTCCTTCCTTCCTTCCTTCCTTCCTTCCTTCCTTCCTTCCTTCCTTCCTTCCTTCCTTCCTTCCTTTTCTTCTCTTTATCACTACTTGGCCGCAGCCCACAATAGTGAGGAATAGAGCCTCTAGTTTCACCCCAGCCTCCCCCTCTCTCTTTTGAGATAGGGTCATGTTAAATAATCTAAACTGGCCTAAAGCTCAATATATAACCCATGCCCATGGCAATCTTGCCTCAGTGTCCTTAATTGCTAGGATTATAGGTATGTAGATCACACCCAGCTTCCAGCCTCTCTCTCTCTCTCTCTCTCTCTCTCTCTCTCTCTCTCTCTCTCTCTCTCTCTCGTGTGTGTGTCTGTCGCTGGAGATTTAACCCAGGGAATCAAGCAGAGCATGCTAAACCAGTGCCCTACCACTGAGCCATATCCTCTGCTCCCTGGCTCTTGCTGTGTCCAGCTTCCTGCTCAGTGTCTCTACTTACATGGCCCAGAAGCCCTCAGTGTCCAAACATCTCAAAACCTTCATCTCTTGGGCAGAGAAGACAGCCACAGACCCATCCCTGCCTGAGCCTTGGACCTCCAGGCATCACCGAGGGGAGGAAGGGAGGAAGGCTCTGCTGTCCCTCGAGTGTGGTCCACCTTACCTCCCCATAAGCAATAGTATTATTGTATCTCCTCATTTCCGGGTAGACGTGGTCCAAGTACCACTGGAAATTCTTACACTTCAGACTCTTCCTTAATGCTTTTCTTTCTGAGACGTCACCTATATCGATTCCTGGATTCTGCAAGCAGAGAGACAAAGGGCATTAGTAGCATGGAACCCAAGCCAGGGGCTTGTGCGAACAGAGTTACTTTTAGAGAGAGAATCTAGGAGATTTGGAGCGGAGCCTGTACTGGTTTTGTTTTTTTCTTTTTTGAGGAGTGTTATAGCTTTATTTCTATTGCTGTGATAAAACACCCTGACCAAAAGCAGCTTGGGCAAGGAAGGGTTTATCTGGCTTATAACTCCAGGCTATCATTCTTTATTTGGGGGAAAGTCAAGGCAGGGACTCAGCAGCCAGTCACATCCACAGAGCAAAGAAAACAATGCAGCCCTGCTGCCTCAGCTAGCCTTCTTACACAGTCCATGGTCCAGTCTAGGAAATGGCGTGACCCACTTCCAGGGTGGGTCTTCTACCTCTATTAAAAATCAAGACATGCCCCCCCCGACATACCTGTAAGCAAACCCGATCTAGACAATCCCCCCATTAAGACTCTCTTCCCAGATTGTCTCAAGCTGACATTAAAAACCAACTGTTGCATATGGTCCTGTGTAGTAGCTCAGGCTAGCCTAGAGCTTGCTATATAGCTAAGGATGACTTCGAACTCCTGATCCACCTGTCTTCACCTCTGAAGTGCTGAGATTACAAGTGTGCACCACCACACCTGGTTTATGTGGCATAAAGGAAAGAACCCAGGGCTTTGTGTGTTCTAGCACACACCTGACTGACTGAGCTACATCCCCTGCCCAGGGCCCAGTAGTGCTCAGAAGGCTGGCCTCAGCAGATGTACCGTGTCTCTTAAACCTAAGCTGGAGATTATATACCTGCCCCGTGGAGCACATGTAGGAAGACTGGACAGACATCTCTAGACAGGTCTCTGTCTTTATCACCCCTAGGGTTAAGGACCCCAGGACACAAAGGATAGCAACAACCTCCCCTCTGGGATTCTTCTATTTCACAGGCCCTCGGTGATTATCCAAGACAATTATTGCAGGAATTGTTTTTGGGTGACAAGAAAACAAATGTGTCTAGGCTCCTTCGTCTTTCCCTTGCTCGTGACGTCCCTCTTTGTGGGCACTCTGCGAAGCTCATTATATGCAGGGGAGAAAATAATTTTCCGTGTGATGATGTTCTGATGAATAATTCACTCTGCTTTTATTGAAATGAACCTGTAATGGGTTGCTGGATGGTGACAGGGGAAATAAAGTATCTGAAATATGAGCCTCGGTCTCAGCCCCAAGACGACTGTGAGTCAAAGGACACCGGCCAGGCTGGGAAGGGAAGTCAGGTGGGATTTGGGGGCACTGAGAACAGCTAAGTAGTTACTCTGTCAAGATTTCCTCAGTCCTCAGATAAGGATTTTAAGTGGGTGTGGATGCATGTAGATGTCTGTGTGTAGGGGTGTGTTTGTCTGTGAATGTATTTAAGTATTTGTGTATTTTTGTGTGTGTATAGATGCTGGTGTGTTTATATTGTGTAGGGTATATTTATGTTGTTGTGTGTGTGTGTGTGTGTGTCTGTGTGTGTGGTTTGTGTGCCTATACATCATATGCAGGGCCAACAGCAGAACACTGGTTGTCTTTCTCTATCATTCTCAACCTCATCTTTCTCTTCTTGTGTTGACACATAATCTCTCTGAAGCTGAAGCCCACTGGCCAAAATACTCCAAGATCTGCCTGTCTCCTCCCCTCAATGCTGGAATTCCAGGCATGAGTGGCTATGGCTGGCTCTACATAGATGCTGGGGATTTGAACTCAGGTCCTCATGAGTGGCTATGGCTGGCTCTACATAGATGCTGGGGATTTGAACTCAGGTCCTCATTCTGCCACAGTAAAAGTGCTATTTTTACCCATGGAACAATCTCTAGAAAAATTCTTTAAATATCAGACTTATGAATACTTCAAGGCAAGCCTGAAAACAATATGTAGCTCTTTGCTTGAATATACTTGCCATGATTAATTTATTAGTCTGATTGTTTGAGTCATAACCTCATAATATATAGCCCATGCTAGCCTTGACCTCATAACCCTCCCTGATTCATCTCCTCTAGTGTTGGCAATACAGGTTAGTGCCAACATACTTAGCAGAAAATGGCCCCTTTTTCTTCTTCTCTTCTCCTCCTCCTCCTTCTTTCCCTCCGTCTCCTCCTCTTTTCAAATACAGGATCTCAAGTAGTCTAAGCTAGTTTCAAACTGGCTGTGCGTCAAGGTCAATGAATGACCTTGAACTCCTGATCCTGGTGCCTCCATTTCTCCAGTGTAGGGATTATACACTTGGCTGAAATTAGTTATTTGTTAAAAGCATGGCAAGATAACATTCATAATTACGGCCTAGTGATCTGGAACCAGCCAACCAACTGTTCTTCCATGTTGTTTGACTTCACTTACCTATGATCAATCACAGTCCAAAGATTCCAAATGGAAAATTCCAGAAGCAAACAATTTATAAATTTGAAGTAAATTTCATCAAAGGATTTTGTTCTGATCATGCTATCTTGTTATTAGACATTGCTGTTGGTCTCTTATTATGTAAGTTTATAAATAGAAGTTGGTCATAGTCTGTATGTCAGGGAGGAGGGACAGCATCTACAGTGTGCATGTGCTTCGTCTGACCCAGGGCTTAGGCTGGGAGTGTGGCACAGGCCTGTCATCCCAGGATCGGGAAGCTGAGAGAAGAGCGTCACAATTTGAGACTAGCCTGGGCTGTTCAGTGAGATCTTGTCAAAGCACAGAAAGAGGTGGGGGGAGGGGAAGAAGGTAGATATGGAAGGGAGGAGAAGGAAGTGTGGGAAAGAGGAGAAAGAAAGGTAGGGAGGGAAGGAGGAAGGAAGAAGAGAATGCCTTAGGACCAGATATGTTTTTATTTCAGTTCAGATTTAGGATTTTTTAGTTCCCAACCATCCAGGACTCATTTCATAAAGAGACTGCCTCAATGCTACCCCCAAAAGAAGATTTAGAAATTTTTTTTCTGGACCACAGAATAATTTGTATAACTTTTATTGGCTGAACATCCTTCAAGTGAAAACCACAAATCCCAAATTCTCCCAAGTCTGTTATTTTGAACACGGTGTTCATGAGGTATTCACCGGGGTGCTCAGTCCTGTCTATGAGTTCTAGTCTTTAAAACGTCCTTCCAAGCACCCCAGGGCCAAGCGGGGATTGTAGGACATGGCACTGGGCAAGAGTGACCAGAACTCGGCTCTTGCGACTTGAAGAGTGACAGGTAACGTTGACTGTCAGGTTAACAGGATCTAGAATGGCACTTCTAGGCATGTCTATGAGGGGGTCTCTAGACTGGGTCCACTTGAGGAAGGAAGACCCACCCTGAACGTGGATAGCTTCATCCCATGGGCTGGAGTTCCATAATGAATACCAAGGAGACAGTGAGCTGAGCACCGGCATCCATCTCTCTCTGCTTCCCGACTGTGGATGCCATGTGACCAGCTGCCACAGGCTCCTGACACCATGCCTTCCCCACCATGATGGACTAGACCCTTACATTTTTGAGTCACAGTAAACATTCTTAAGTAGGTGTGGTGGTGCCCACCTTTAATCCCAGCACTCAGGGGCAGAGGCAGGTGTGTCACTGTGAGTTTGAGGCCAGCCTGGTCTACAAAGTGAGTTCTAAGACAGCTGGGAGCTACCCAGAGAAATCCTGCCTTGAAAAAAAACATACAAAACATTGACAAGATCTTTCCATAAGTTGCTTTTGTTGGGTGTTTTATTCTAGAAAAGGAATAGTAACTCGTAAGACAGATAAAACTTATCATTCTAGAGTTTTCTCTAGAAAACATAAATACCCTAACACTGGCTCTCCAGGGGTATGAGTTCACTCCCTTGCCTGATAATTTGAGTAAATATTCTCATATTCCTTATTTAAGAAAATTTACTCCTAGTTAATGTGTATGTATGTATGTGAGAATATGTACATGCATGCAATGCCCCTGGTGGCCAGAAGAGGGCAACAGATCCCCTGGAGCTGGAATAACAGGTGATTAAGAGCTACCTGAAATGGGCACTGGGAACTGGACTCTGGTCTTATACAAGGGCTGCAGCACTCTTAACCACTGAGCCATCTCTCGGACCCTGAGCTCCCATTCTTGCTCCTGAGCTTTGTGTAAGATCTTAAACAAGTGCCACGAGCCTCCCAAATTACCAAGTCTCTTGTCTGTAAAATGGGCAGAACAGCGCATTTACAGACTGTTTAAGACAGCCTAAGCATCTTTCTGTGCTCCATTTGTTTGCCACTGGGGCCCAGGGGGGTGAGTATGAACAACTGAACAATTAACGTTCTACAGATGTAGAAAGTCTAGGTGGATCTCTTCATTGTCGTGAGGTTAAACGAGCTGTTGTAAATAAGAAATTTATCAAGCATTTGGGATGGACTAAGGGCTCATCAAAGGTTACCCAACATTACATAACAGGAATATGTGAAAGCTTGGGCTGGCAAGATGGCTCTGTGAGTAGAAGGGCTTTCTGCCAAGCTTGATGACCCCTGGTCCACCTCAGGACTGGCCTGGTGGAAGGAGAGAGCCCTCTTGCACAAGCTGTTCTCTGACCTCCAGACGATGCCCACTGTCGCATCCTTTCCCCTACGTAGACTAAATAAGGGTAAGTTAAACATGTGTAAAGGCACAACACGTTCAGTGACGATGCAGTGCAAAAGGAGGGGGGAGCAACTCTTCAGGATGGAGTTCAACACCTGTAATGTGAGGCGGGATGGGGCTACAGTGTCGGTTTAGCTACATGGGAGGCTGAGGTGGGAAGGTCAAAAGTTCAAGATTAGCCTAGCCTGGTGAGGGATTCAAGGCCAACCTGAGCAATTTAGTGGGACCCTGTCTCAAAATGAAAAAAACAGTGGTTGGAGGTATGGCTCAGAGGTAGAGCATCTCTCTAGAATTCCCCAGGACCAGGGGCTGAGGTCATGGCTCAGTGGTAGAGCCCCTCTATAGAACTCCCCAGGGAGTTGCCTGGGATGTAGGTCAGTGGTAGAGCTCCTGCCTAGAATCCTCCAGTGAGGGGCTGGGGTGCAGCTCAGTGGTAGAGCCCCTGCCTAGAACCCCCCCAGTGAGGGGCTGGGGTGTGGCTCAGTGGTAGAGCCCCCGCCTAGAATCCCCCAGTGAGGGCCTGGGGTGTGGCTCAGTGGTAGAGCACCTGCCTAGAATCCCCCAGGGAGGGGCTGAAGGGTGCTTTCCTAGCATACAGAAGCCCCGAGGTTCAACCATGGGTACTTGGGGGGGGGGCTGTAACAATGATACAATTTATACGGGTTTATCTTTCACTCAAACCTTGTACACATTCAACTGTACTCTTGCTCTGTTGCCGCCTAATGAAACGGGGAAGGAAGACCTGGCAACATCTCATTTTACTGTTACTCTCTGAGAAGTGGTCAGTGAAGATTTCATCCATCAAGAGGCAGAGGTGGGATTCAGATGCAGGTGGGTACAGCAATGGGGTTCCTGTTGGGAGTCTGTAGTAGCCAGAGATTTTCCTGGAGCCACAGGCAGAATGTATGAGAGAGGTAAGGTTGGAAGCAAGAGTCACAGCTTTCAGTAAGGGCTTGTCGCTGGCAGATTTGGATTAACACGGCAACAAGACCTTTGTAAGTGGATTAATGCCTTCCTATGGCTGCCCTGGTGCTAAGAGGATCTAACACACAGGCGTCTGTTAGCCTTGGCAATGGAAGAACTGTTGGCTTATTTAAGGGGATCTATGGTCTGCCTGAGTGCCAAGCTTATTTTGCTAGGTTGACAGGGAAAGGCGCCTGCTCCTACCTCTAGAGGCAGATTCCACGCTATGTACACATGAGACTTGTAGTCGTCCATCCAGACCTCGGCTACCCGGAGCGCGTTCCTCTTGGTGTAGAAGCCGATGTTGCTGTTGTAGGGTTTCTTCTTCCGCTCGATGTGAGCCACCCGCGAGCATGGGAGGACCTCCATGCTGCCGCCACAGAGCCACACCTGTAAGCAAGAGACTTGATCAGTGCAGCAGAGGCTATCCCAGAGCGATTGAACACATTTAGCATAGGTCCTAGTTTCCTCTCGATGGCTGTGATAAAACAGTCTGACCAAGCAACTGGGTGCATCTGGCTTACACTTCCAGGTCACAGCCTATCACTGAGAGAAGTCAGGACAGGAACTTTAGTAAGAACTTGAAAGCAGGGCTGGAGAGATGGCTCAGTGGTTAAGAGCACTGACCGCTTTTCCAGAGGACCCAGGTTCAATTCCCAGCACCCCACATGGCAGCTCAGAACTGTCTGAAGATCCAGTTTCAGGGGATCCGACACCTTCACACAATGCACATAAAATAAAGTTATAAAAACCATAAAAAATATTTTTAAAAAAAACTTGAAAGTAGGAAACTCGAATACTGCTTATTGGTGCACTCACAGGGTCAAGCTTAGATAGCTTTCTTATATAACCCAGGACCACCTGCCTAGGGAATGGTGCCACCCACAGTGGACTGGACCCTCCTACATTAACAATCCCCCACCGCCACAGACAGACCCATAGGCCAGTCTCATCTAGGCAATTACTCAGTTGATGCTTCTACTCTCACATGACTCTTAGCTGCAGCAAGTTGACAGTCAAAGCTCACTATGACATTTAATACAACTGTCAGTTTGAATGGATCTAGAGTCATCTAGAAGACAAACCCATGGGCATGGCTGTAAGGGAGTTTCTAGACTGGGTTAACTGAGGAAGAGAGGCTTAACCTTGAACTTGGGTGACACCATTGCATGGGCTGGGGTCCTGGGTTGGATAAAAAGGAGAATGTGGCCAAGCACCATGTTCAGGAACATGACCAGCTGCCTCATGTTCCTGCCGCCATGCCTTTCCACCACTATGGACTGAATCCCTGACCTGTGACTCACAATAAACCCTCCCTTCTTCAAGTTGATTCTTGTCAGGTACTTGGCGACAGCGATGAAAAAGTAAGCAATACATTTCAATATGTCTGGCTTGTCCAATTTCTCCTTTGGCTACTTTGTTGTTGTTATTATTAGCTCAGGCCTTTGGGAGAACTTGGCTGTGATTCCTCTGATGTCATCTCTCTCATTATCTCCCTTTTTTCTTTGTGGTGTGTGTGTGTGTGTGTGTGTGTGTGTGTGTGTGTTTCTCTTCTGGCTTCTGTGGGCACCTGCACAAAAGTGGTATTCACTCATAAGTGAATACATAAATAAAAACAGTAAAAATATATCTTTTTAAGAAATTAATAAATGTAAGGGCTGAGGCTAGTTGTTGAGTTGGGAAAGTACTTGCCATGCAAGAATGAATCCCCGAGTTCAGCCCTGGGAGATAGCCAGGTCTGACAGCTTGTACCTGCAATCCCAGCTATGGGGAGGTGGAGGCAGGAGGAGCCCCTGTGTTCACTGGCCAGCCAGCCCAGCCTCCTTGGTAAGCTCCAGCCAATGAGAGACTCTGTCTCACAAAAGAGGTGACAACATCTGGTGGACACCCCAAGGTTGTCTTCTGGCCTCCACACCCATAGGCACATACATGAACATAAACACAAGCACACACACAAAATTAAACTTATAAAGAATATCACGCTCAGTTCTTAAGGAAAGGTGAGTGTGTGTGTGTGTGGGGGGGGGGTTCATTCATTTCCTGGAACTAAGTAATAGTGAAGGACTTCAGGTTGTAATGAACACCTCATCTCTTGGAGGGTGAGGGACAGAACCTGGGGCCCTGTGAAAGCTAGGTGAGTGTTCTAGCACTGAGCCCCATGCCCAGCCTATGTGACATTCTTGATGTTTGTGAGACACACAGGATGTCACCGACTTTACAACAGTCTACTGAGACTTTGGGAACAGTGTGGAGCTCACCCCACCTTCTTCTCCAGGATCCCCATTCACACACTAGCCCTAAAGATGTTGACACACACAGGGCTTTCTCCTCCTTCCCTTAAGGGTGTGCACTTCTGACATCTGAGGACCGTCTCTCCCAAATGTCGTCTGTGTCCATGATAAGGTCACTCTGAAATCCATCTAAATTCATCTCTACGGATCAAAGCAACAGTGAGCGGGGCCTAGCGGTACACTTTTGCCTTCCTAGATACTTGGGAGATGGAGGCAGAGAGGTCACAGAGAGTTCCAAGTACTGTTTGGGCAACTTAATGAGACTTCCTCAAAGGAAAATGTAAGAGGGCTGGGGTGTATTTCAGTAGTAGAACACCTGCCTACAATCCCCTCAGTGCTGGGGCGGGGCTTGGCGGTAAAGCGGCTGTGTCAGCTGCACCAGGTCCTGGGTCGTGGACAAAACAACAACACACACTAATAACAATAACAATAGAAAGTAACGTCGACGGATCTCTCGATGCAAAACTCATGAACAGATAATCCCATTGGGTCATCTAAGTCTAGGTAAATTTTAGCCTTCTATGTTTTGATAAAATATGACTAAAAACCAACTAGGTGTCTGGCTAAGAAAATTGTTTGTTTTGTTTGTCCTTTCTTCTTCGGGACTCCTTGGGAACACTTGCCCATCCCAGTCCCTGCCACTGGTAATGACCCCCAGTATTTTGTGTCTCCCCGGGACCCATTTAAACACATCTTCTCTTCCACACCTAGACGGGTGCACCGTACCTTTCCTCCTACGTTCCTTTTTACAAAAATTCAATTTCAATCTGGGGCTTTATTTATTACAGTTTCTCAGAAACAGGATTTACAAATGCAAATCTTGAGACATATCTCAATTTAAGTACCGCAGCGGCGAGAACCCCTAAACATCTAGATTCTACTGCCGGTTGGGTCGATGCAAGTCATTTCTCTTCGTGCAGGCTGAGGAATTAAAATGAACCTTGGTAAGTGACACGAGATTCCGAGGAGGAAAGAAAGGCATTATTGAAAGCAGCCAGATTCATTGAGCAGAGACCAGGGACTGAAAGGGTTTCTTTTTCTTTTTTTATTGTTGTTGCTTTTGTATTTAAAAGACAAGCTATATGAGAGAGAGGAGAATCATACTGGCCTGAACTTATTATCAGTTAAAAAAATCATTATGGATTTACCACCGAGTGGAATGGCATGCTATTGTCATACATGATCAGGCTCCTGTGTTAGATTTTAAAAAGTCCCATGTAATCTTTATGCGTGTTTAAGTCCTATTTGTTCCGCCTTCCTCTTCCCTCAAATCCCTTCATTTTTGTTCCATTCCCTCCTTCTTCTCCCACCTAAAATCCTGTTCCTGCTTCAAATCCCTTCCTCTCTTTGTGCTGTGGTGGAGGCCGGGGACAACAGCATCAAGATTATTAATATACCAAGGATTGAAAAGATGGCTCAGTAGCTGACGGCATTTACGTACAGGAGTTCCATTCCCTGCGACCCACAGGCCGCGGGAGAAAATTGACTCCACAAGTTGTCCACTGACCTCCGCACACACTGTGGGACTTGTGCACACATGCAGAGTAAATAAAAGATAATAAAACTTTAAGAGCAGCCCATGAAAGAAGCAGTTGGCATAGACTGGAATCTCTTCCCCACCTGGGCTACGCAGATCAGAGTGTCCGAGAAAAGCCCATGGGAGAGGCATCTTTGAAGGAAATGAGTCTTGCGTCTCCTGGACCAGCATGTTTAGGTGGATACCCTCTGCCCACCCTGCTAGACCACTCTCAGCTTTGGGAGTGCCATTCACTTTAAAAATTATTTTTTGCTTGTGTGTGTCCTTACACATGTCCCACAGTGCAGGTGGAGGTCAGAGGATGACTCGTGGGTGTTGATTTTCTCCTTCGAACATCTGAGTTCCGGAGACTGTTTGTTCTCAGGGCATTAGGCTTGTTAGCAAGTGTCCTTACAAGCAGATGTATCTCACTGGCCTGGATCCCTTTTCTTAATAAACCACCTCTATTTCTACTTTTAACTGTGTATCTCTAGTACATTTTTTTTTCATTCTGGACACAAAAACCTAAAAACATCATTAGATATTCCTCAGAACTCGAATCCACACTGTGATGCTTAATAATTGCCATCTTCATAGGATCCAGAATTGTGAGAGATATGCCTCCTGGCATGCTTGAAACATCATTTAGCTCAGTGGTTTTCAACCTGTGGGTTGTGACTCTTTCGGGGGTTGAATGACCCTTTCAGAGGGGCCGCATATCAGATACCCTGTATATCAGATATTTACTTTATGTTTTATAACAGTAGCAAAATTGCAGTTATGAAGCAGCAATGAAAATAATTTTATGGTGTGTGTGGTATGTGTGGGGGGTCACCGCAACATGAGGAACTGTGTTAAGGGGTTGCAGCATTAGGAAGTTTGAGAACCAGTGCTCTACATTAATGTTAGCTCTGAGATTGTCTGTGAGGGATGGTCCTGATTGGCTCAGCTGATGTGTGGAAGGTGCATCTTGAACATGGGCCAGGGAACAATGGCAAAGAGAAAGAGAGCTGAACACACGCCTTCACTGCTTTCTTCTTCCTGACTTTGCCTGCCACGTGCCTTGTGGCTTTGACTTCGCCACCATGGTGGAATGTTTCTCTAAACGTAAGTCAAAAGACTTCCTTTGACTGCTTTTATCATGATATTTTGAAAAATAAACTTTAATATTTATGTGTGTCTATGTGCTTGGGCAGAGGCGAGCGGATGGTATCAGATTGCCTGGATCTAGAGTTACAGTTGGTCGTGAGCCACCTAACATGGGTTCGGGAAACAAACTCAGGTCCTCCGAAAGAGAAGTACATGCTCTCAGCCGCTGAGCCACCGCTCCAGCCCTTGTCCCAGTATTTTTATCACAGCCGCACAAGGGTAACTAGGGCGTCCATCCAAGCAGACCCTCCTCCCTTCCCCTACAGCGACATGAAGCATTTTATTGCTCTTTGTGTTCCCAGAACCTGATGGTAAACTTACAACAATTTGCCTTCGGTCATTGAACCCAACACCATAGACACGTTTATGAGGGCCAGCGTTCTGTGTGAAATGCTGCCAGGGCTAGGAAGGTAAGAGAACCAGGAGCCCACTGACGGAGCCCACAACCTTCCCTGGTTCCTCAGGGCCGAATGCTACAGCAAATGTCGGGAAAGGGCTGCAAGCTGCCTTAACATCTTCACATGGAAGTCTCCGGAAGGCAGGTGGGTGATGACATTGTATTCACTTTCCTATCTACGCATATTATCCTCCCTTCTACCGCCATTTAGTGTGCGTTTTGCTGAGGATTAGAAAGCAGCTGTTGGAGTGTAATTATAGATAATCTGTGTTCAGCCACAGGAGAGCGAATTATAGTTAATTCCATCCTTCAACGCCAAAGGCCACAGCTTTGAGAGTGTATGCTGGGGCTTGGAAGCTGGTATTTACATATTTTTTTTTAAAAAACTGATCTCGTGTGTGTGTGTGTGTGTGTATGTGTGTGTGTGTGTGTATGTGGTGTACAGTGTCCACGGAGGCCAGTTGAGATAGACAGGACTCTTGGACTTGAAGTTATATTGGGCAGTTGTGAGCTGCCCCACACGGAAATTGAGAGCAGAACTTGGGTCCTCTAGTTGAGCATTTACAATCTTAATTACTGAGCCATCTCTCTGGTCCCCGTTTCCATAGAGATTTTAGACAGTGTGCGATGTTTAATTGCCACTGCCAACTTGGACAGTTGGAGGCACACCTCTGAGTGTGTCTGCAGGCATGTTTCCAGAGAGCCTTAACCGAGGAGGGAAGGCCTGCCCTGGATCAGGGTGACATCCTCTTATCTAGACTGGGGGTCCTGGACTGGCTAAAAAGACGAAAGTGAACAGAGCACCGGCGTCCATCTCTCTCTGCCTCCTGACGATGGAGGCCACATGACCAGTTGCCTCACGCTCCTGCTGCACGCCTTCCCCACCACAATGGACTACGTCCTCTCAAACCAAAGGCCACAGACCAGTACAGGTTCCCGCAAGACCTGGATTCTCAGAGCTGTTCTACGACCCCAGTCGCTGTGGGTCTAGCGGCTTTACGCCCCCTGCTGGTGAGGTCCATCAGTTGATGTCATAAAGTCTCCAGGACTCTAATGAACACAGCCCTCAACAGGGTGTTTCCCCCCTACCCTGAGCCAATGGTAGATTCCAGTCCCTTTATTTAGTAGAAACTTCACTCTGGGTCTCCGTTCTAGCCGTATTTCTGTTGCCATGAGAAAACGCTCTGCCAAAGCCGAGTAGGGAGAAAGGGTTTATTTCCACTTACAGTTCCCCAAGGTACAATCCGCTGCTTCCTGGAAGTCAAGGGAGGAACTCAAGCAGGCTCATCACATCCGCAGCCAAGAGCAAAGAGAGAAATGAACGCATGCTCACTCCATATCAGCTTGCTTTCATAACTCCTATGGTCCATGGCCTCCAAAGTGTGCAGTGGGGGTTAGAGAATTAACTCCTCGGAGGCTGGTGCCCACCCATAATGCGCTGCGTCCCCCTATGTTAACTAACAAGTCAAATCTCCCATACACACGCCCACATTCCAATCTAGAAAATCTTCCTAGATGATTCTGATTGTGTCAAGTCTACAGCTAAAACTAGCCAGCATAGGCCTCAGTGATGCCCTTCCGTCTATGAGCCAGTTTAGCAACATATGACAAGCTGTGTAAGAAGGATCGGATGCCTTCTACTAGTGATAGGCAGTGTCTGCTTCTGGCTAGTGACAGCAACCAAAGTGTGGGCATCACAGTCTCCTGGGCACCCCATTTGCAGCCTCCCCTTTTGCTGGCTTGGCCATAGGCTCTTCTTTTTCATCATTCACCATCGGTGGCTTCGGAGTCAACGTTGTAACTTCGAAGACTCCATCCCGTTCCCCACCACATGGTCAAACTCAGAAGCTACCCACTGAAGGGAGGAGAGCCACAGTGAGGAAAGAGCTGAGACCTTCTAATGATCACATGTTAGGTTCCCTGCCAACATCTACCATGAATTTGCTTTCTGGGCCTGCGTGGTGTGTGTATGTATGTCTTTAAGTGTAAATATGTGTGTATTTGCATGTATATATGTGTATGTGTGTGCATGTGGATGCCAGAGGTCTAATCGGGTGTCTCTCTTGATCACCCTCCACTTCATTGTTTTGAGACAGGGTTTCCACTGAAACCTCAATTCATTTATTTAGCTATACTGGTCGGTCAATGAGATTTAAAGATCTGTCGGCAGTCCTTACTCTGAACTGCAAGCTGTTGAAATTTGAGAAGCCCCCAGCTTTTGAAGGATTTAGTATCCAGAGGCGAACAGCCTCACTGAACTTTGAGTCATTTCGTTTGGTTTTCTCCTGGAAAGCAATCTGCTTCCCACTGTCCATGGAAGTGGATCCTGCCCTGGGATACTGCAAACTTCCCTGACCTCTCCCCTTCCATTCAGTTCTCAGCCCCGCTTGGGGACGAGTTTCACATTGAGAAATCTTTTGGAACAGGCAGCCTGTGGCAAGGCTGATGAAGGCAACATGGTCTTTTAAATGTTTAAACAGTTCTTTCTAGTGCTGTCTTGTTTTGGCTTGCCTAACACTGTGTCCTGTGTATTTCCTAGGACCGGGGATCCGAAATGTCATCTCTTGCGTACTGACAGCCGTTGCTGCTGCTGCCGCCGCCAAGGGCTGACAGTCTGGATCCCACAGTGTCTGAGAGGTGGACGGCACAGGTGTGCCATTCATTCATGGACAATGGAAGCCAGCATGATCAAAACGGCAAACTTTGCTCCTAGGCTCAAAGCGGATCCAGGGAGGATGCTGCATTAGTTTCTTTGGTGTAATACTTTTTATTTTTCCTTGTGTAAAAAGGCTGAATACGCTTGTTTGAGCTTAGGCAGTATTTTTTGTATTCAGATTTTTTTAAAAATTACATTTATTTATGTGTGTGCAGGCGTGTGAATATATGTGTATATTTGCACCACAGTACTCACGGGGAGGTCAGAAGACAACTTTCAAGAGTTGACCCTCTCCTTTGAACCCTTGGGATCAAATTCAAGTCCTTACTCAGGCTTGGTGGCCAATGTCTTTACTTGCTGAGCTATCAAGCCAGACCCTAAAATTTCGTTACATTCTGTAACACAGACTGGTCTCCAACTCATAGCAATCCTCCTGCCCCAACCTCTGAGTACTGAGACAGCAGGCCTGTTCCACCATGCTCAGCTCTGTTTACAAACCTTTGAGTTCAAATCTCAGGAGATTTTTTTTTCTGTCCTCACAAACATGATTTTTGGTATTGTTTTACAAGAGGTGGGAACAAGCCAAAGAGGCCCCTGATCTTCATCCAGCTGTGAAGTTCGCAGACGTTTTGATCTTTTTCTATCCTTTTTAAAAATTAATTTATTTAAAAAACTATCTTTTCTCATTTTACATACCAATCCCAGTTCCCACTCCCTCCCCTCCTGCTGCTCCCTCCACCTGCCTCCCCTCCCCACCCCACCACTCCACCTCCATCCACTCCTCAGAGAGGGTAAGGTTTCCCACGGGAAGGCAATAAAGTCTAGCACATTGCTTTGAGGCAGGACCAAGGCCCTCCCACTATATCTAGGCTGATCCTTTTCTATTCTTTACAGAGGGATTGTGATAAAGAATTGGCTTAATAACTTACGAACCGGGCTGGAGAGATGGTTCCGTGCTTAAGGAGTCAAGAGCATGTGCTGCTCTTGCCGGGGACGTGAGTTCTGTCCCCAGCACCCCCATCAGGCAACTCACGAAATGCCGGGCATTTGACACCCTCTATTGGCAGGCACTGTACGCATGTGCACATGAACATACAAACATAATTTAAAAATTAAATAATAATTGAAATACAAATTTGCATTGATGAATAACCAGCGGAATCCAAAGTCTCAACAATTCCGCCAGGAAGCACGAATCACGGTTTATCTTTCTGGCAGCTACTTCACCCTCCCCATCCTGCCTTTGTTTTCATACGTACCCTAATTTCCTAAATAGCATAGTTTCTCGGTTGTAAAGCGTGATTACCCTGACTCAGAGAAAATGGAGCCAGTGGTGCTGTGCGTGCGCAGACTGGGCTGCAGCCTTCGCACAGCCAACGTCCATTCCTCATCCTGTCAGATCTTGTCTCCTCTGATGAGACGCCAAGAAAATTGTTCCAGTGGGCGGACCCATAACAGAAATCTCCATGCGACAAGGAGGACCGATTCTTCAGGGTCGCCAGGGTTGGCTACTTCTAGCTAGCATTTTGATCCGTCCTGGGGTTAATGGGATTCCGTGTACGTGACAAGGATTTGATAACTTAATGCATGTCTTGCCGGCTGTTTTCAGCTATACTCCATGGTCACCAGGACCCATTGTGTGGCTGAGGGGACAGAGCGCTCAGCTTCACCTATGGGAGATGAACTGTGTCCGTACCCCCACCGAGTTGCCCTTTTGAACTTGCTCAGCGTGGGAGCCTCTGGAGGCAAAGTTGAGACACCAGTCCAAGAAGATGGGCATCTGTTTTTTTTTTTTTTTTTTTTTTCTGGGACAGCAGCAGGCACTGCAGAGGCATTCTGGGAGAAGATGGAGCTTTGCTAAATGGTGGGTTTTGCGGCGGGCAGGAGAGAGGAGAGCAAGACTCCACGGATGGGAGGGGCTCTCGGAAGTCTCATCTCACTGTCAGCTGACTCTTGGTGTTCCCACAGTGACTACAAATTCCCATCCCCATTACAGTGTGCTGGACATCCCTTGGCTTGGGGATCGACGAGCAAGCTCAGCAACCCTTGCTTTAAAGCCCAATGGCCTGAAGCGCACCATCCCTGGGACCCATCCGACAGAAGAGCGAACTGAATCCTGAAAACTGTCCTCTGACCGGAACATGTTTACCACAGCACACACACGTGCACATGCATGCACACACTGAAAGCAAAAATTTAAAAAAAAAAATCTTTTTTTTTTCTCTACATCTCTTTATTTTACTAGCAGTACTCGTTGTCTTTGGACTTAATTAAATTAATTAATAACTTTGTATGGGGGCATGTAGTGGTGTGTGTCATGGTGTCAGTATACACGTGTACACATGTGTGTGTTGGCCAGAAAACATCCTCAGGGGTCATTCCTCAGGTGTCTTCCAGTTTTCTTTCGAGACAGATCTCTCACTGTCCTGGACCTGGTCAGGTAGGCCACACTAGCCGGCTGGCAGGCTTCCAGGGA